GGGCCCCATGATGCTCTGAGTTTCCCTTTTGGATCTACACATTTAATAGATTGCCCAGCCAATAAGTTAGCTAATGCACTTACTAACTTTGTGTCTCCTCTCTCCCGTAGTGTGTCCTCTCTCTCTCCCTGTACCTTTCTGCAGGTTGCCCTGGCCCTGGAGCTCTATGTCTCTGACGAGCAGTCACCGGCCACATCGACCTGATCAGTGTTTGATTGTTGTGTCTTGTTGCTTTTCTTCTTTTGTCTCTCCTCTATCCACTCACCCCAACCGGTCGAGGCAGAAGGCCGCCCACCAAGAGCCGGGGTCTGTCGGAGGTTTCTTCCGTTAAAGGGAGTTTTTCCTCCCCACTGTCGCCAAGTGCTTGCTCAAGGGGGATTTGTTGGGTTTTCCCTATGTAATAATATTGATAACAGTAAGGTCTAGACCTTACTTTGTAAAGTGTCCTGAGATGACTTTTGTTGTGATTTGGCGCTATACAAATAAAATTTGATTTAATTTTTGAATTTGATTTTCAAATAGAATAATAATACTGCAGGGTGGCCGTGGCTCAGGAAGTAGAGCCGATTGCCTTCAAACCCGATTCCAGTCCTGGCTTCACCACACGTCAAAGTGGGCATTGAGAAAGACACTGAAACCCTGGTTGCTCCTGGTGATATCACTGGAATGTGAATGTGTGAGTGCTTGTGTGTGTGAGAGTCAGTCAAAGAGAAATATTGTAAAGCGCTCTGAGTATGCTTCAGTGCCTAGAAAAGCGCCATATAAACCCATTTATGTGACCAATTGGTCTGATCTGAGCCTCTGAGTTTGGTTCCCTATGAGCCACAGATATCAGTAGTGATCTGTGTGATCAGTAATCCGAAACATGAATATGTTGCATTGGTCTACATTATAAATTCCTTCACTTAAAACCCGTGAACTGACTGCTGTTAGCCTACTTAGTTAGCCTAGCTCAGTTTGTCAGATAGGAAATTGAACGATTGTGATGGAGACCTGCAGCTCACCTGTAGTTACAGCTTAGTGTATATCTAGGATTAGCACAGGCTAACACCATGCATAGTGAGAGTTAAGCAACATCTTAATAAGCCACAATCTAGGGCTACATGTCCATAACCTTCTGACAGTTAGCACCGCAGTGTGTGTTGTGTTTTCTCACGTCAAGGTGTGAAAGTGTGGACAGCTGCAGGGCTGACACTCTCACCTCCTGTCCTCCTCCTGTTCCTCCCTCCATTTGTGAATGAAAGCTGCTGTGCATACCTCCTTTGCCAACATGGCATCACTGTTCAGCCCTTTTTGTCCTTTGTTGTTGCCATTGTTCAAAAGCCACACCAGTGTTAATTCTGGTTTTACTTCTTACAGCATCCATCTTCTTTTTAGTTGTAACAAATACAGTGTTACCCGCTCAGATCTGTGACCCTGAACCGTAGTTGGGGACCTCTGGTTCATGGCTAAGCTGCTTTAGCCCTGGCTTGTAGCCAGTAACTAGCCTTGGAAGTCCGGGCTTTACTGGAGGGGAGAAGTGAAGAGGGAGCCCGGCTAACTCCATTCAAAACGAGCACTGCATGCGGCCTTTAATGCCCAGTTAACTGCATTACAATCCTGTCTATACACTTAGAGCTGAGTACTATCTGGCTGCATGTAAAAGGAGTCTGTCTTCTCGTTCTCATACTGGGGGTCACAACTTTTAGCAACAACATGACCTATAAGCTTTTATTTTATTCTAACACATACAACAAAATTTTGTTTGGAGCCGAGGGCCCCGGGCCGCTGCGTGCATACACGCCACCGTCACAGTCAACTTGGAGGAAGGCCTGGCCTGTAACAACGTTCTCCATTTACAACCAAAAGCTGCTGTGGGAACCTCCTCTGCCACAGATGACATTTTTTTTCTTTATGTTGTCACTCCTTTAATGTATTATTCGCCACTGGGATGAAAAGAGAAATTCAAGAAATGTAGCAAAAATTGATTCTGGAAGGAATTGCCAGCACTACCTTTAAAATATCCCTGAACCACTGAAATTTCTTTGCTGCCTTAACAACTGGCTCAGCCAACGTGATGTTAATGTGCTGCCGCTAATTAAATGACTGAATGAATGACACTTTATTGGTAATTGGTATGGGTGGAACAACTTTTACAAGTCGAGAACTAGAGGGTGGTATCGGACCCTGATACTGGTGTTTGCATCGGTGCGTCCCTAATCCTGAATCACAATAGACTGTAAAGTGTGTTGCAGTTACAGCCTGTCATGACTCAAAGCTAGTATAGCAGCTAATAACAGCTTTGTGCACGTTGTAACAGCATGTTTTTCACAAAGAAGCAATTTGACACATCATGCATGTGGAACTCAACCACTTATAACAAGTAACCTCTGTATACATGTAACATTTAACACAGTTTTACAAATTGATCTCGGTATTTCAAGAATCCGATAACTGAATCGTTCAAAATAAGAATCGCAATTAATCAAAATATTAACTTTTTTTTTTTTTGTCCAGCCCTAAGACTGAGGCTTAAAGTGGCATATTAATATTCTGGGCAGCTTTGAGCACTGACTTCTATCATGATGACTGAGAGAAAGGTTTCTTCCTTAATTTAATTAAACTGCTGTTGATAAGCTGGACCTTTTGTTTAACAAAATATTGATCATTTTGCAATAACTGCTGTCACTGTGTTTCTGTGCAGGCTGCAGGTTGAATCTGTCTCTCTGCCTTGCTGTGAGAGGAGCGACCAAGATACAACATTAAGGTAAGCTCAGCTGGTGTGACACAGACACCATCTTGGCCCCCTTTAGGTAACTAAGTCTGAGCCCACTCTGGGGGTTCTGGGCCCCAGTGAGGGGCCCTGTGGCAGACCTGTTTCACCACAGTGCCTCCTGGATATAGGTGGTGCTGACACAAGAGTTTGATGATGCTTTTATGAATAGGTGACTTGTGATAGAGTACAGTGTGTTCATGTGGATGAAGTGATTTATGTGTAGTTTATGATTTTGGCAAAATGTATAGGTTCTCTATCCTCTACTTGTTCCAAAGTTATTTGAGAGATGTTGGTTTTTTTAATATCTGCTACAGATTGGTTTCCTGTTTATAAACATTCAGAGGTGCACACGTAACCCGGGGGATAGCACGCTAGTGCATTGTTATGTTTGCTCATCTTTTGGAGATTTTCATTGTTTTCAGTGTTGGGCTCATTCCTCAAAAAAAGTAATATATTACTCTTGTTACTCTTTTCAAAAATAGTTACTTCCTGTCAAAAGTAGCTCATTATACTACTCGTTTTACTTTTACTGTACATTACACCCAACAGATTGGTAATATCTTGCAAATGAATGTTGATGTGGGGGTCTGCTGCTAAATGCCGTGCAGTGACGTGTGCACACACGACAACTACGAATATTACATGTCAGATTCCAAATCGGTCTTTGTCATGGTGACACCACTACTCGTTACTGGGGAAAGTAATATTATTACATTACCGTGTTACTAGTAAGGCGTTACAGCCCAACACAGAGCATTTTAAATAGCCATCAGTTGAACAAAGCCAGTGATGACCTTCATTTAGTAACAGACCATGTATGGTTTTTCACTGAAGTGCTGTTATCTCAGTTATCACCATGGATGATACAGCCAGCGTTGAGTATTATTAAAATGAATACATAGAAAAACACAGCAAAAATTCATAACACTTTTCTATATTTGATCCCTGGCGTCCTTCTGGGCTCAGCAGGATGAAGGACCCCAGTCTCTTTTTATTGTTTGAAGCCACAGTTTTCTCCTTCGCTGTTGGAAGGAATGTTCTCCCTTCAGGATGCTGAACATTTTCCAGCCATCCTTGGAGCAATTCGAGCAGTTTACTGCACAACAAGTTCTTTTCATTTTACTTTCCAAACAGTCTCTGTCAGTCCGTTTAGGTTAGTTACCGTGCTTCTCACCGAGGTCGTTGCTCAGAAACCTGTCTATATTTTGGTATATCTACAAACAGTTGAATGAAAGAAATGTTTATAAAAATGTATTGTTATCTTTGGATCTTTGTATTACTTCACTTCAATAGGTTTAAATGTAACTCACAGCTGCTAAATTCTCCATATATTTGAAGCCAAATAACAGAATAGATAAGACATTGAAGAACAATAAACACAAAACAGTTAACTGCTCGCTGCCAAAGTGCCAGGGGTCTCATCAAACATGACCATTTCCTCATAACGTCTTGTGGGAGTGATTTTTAGGATCAGTTGCTCAGTCACTGGTTACGCTGGAGCTGTGCTGCTCAGGAGATCATCTGTCACACTAAAGACACGTCAGAGGAAAGAAGCAGCAGCAGCACATCAGTGGACGGCATTGTGGTTCACTGAGGGAGTTCACCGAGTTTCACATTATGTAACTTGACTGTAATGGGATTCCACCTTTCTGGCCTGATGGTTCCCAGAATGCACTGCAGCCTTTATTATTTATGAGCGGGTGAGGGGCGTAGTCCTACTGTTGGTAGATCAGGAATAGAGACAGACAGACCCCACAGCACACCTGTGTTTGTGTGTGTCAAGGTCTGCATGCTTTTGTGTGTGTTGGGAATATTGCCACATTGTGAGTATGTACATGTGTAGTAGGCCTACAAAAGGAGTAGGATATAATCTTCCTAATTAATCTAATATTAATAAATTACCTGAAAATTCAATGATATACTGTTTATAGATAAAATGTAAATCAGTGTACTTCATCATATTGATGCAAAACTCTTTAGAAGTCTAGTACTGCATAAGGCAGTCCTGCACATTAACTTGGGACTTTGCTAACTATAGTCTCATGCAGCCTGGGAGCCCTTGAGCCATATTTGGGATTTGTGATATTGGGCTATTCAAAAAAACAAAAAAAGGACTTGACTGGTGAATCTTGACCAACTGCTGTGACCTGCAGGACCGAGGGTCATGACTGACAGATGGTCAGAAGCATCAGCTAAGGAGTGCTGTAGCCCAACCCAGAAGGTAGCATCACCCTGGTTCCCTTGGCAAAAGGCCAATGGGATCTTTCCATACGCTTTTGGATTATTGTGGAAAATAATTTCTATGGCAAGATAGAGATTATTATATTTATAGAGATGACACTTAGACGTTTTGTTCGGCACGATAATCTTCACAAGTGGGTTCCCTTGGCAAAAGGCCAATGGGATTTTTCCATACGCTTTTGGATTAATGTGGAAAATACTCTCTATGGCAAAATAGAGATGACACTTTATGACACTTAGACGTTTTGTTCAGCACGATAATCTTCACAAGTAAACATCTCTGTTATGTTCACCACCACGGCTTCTGTGAAGTCCTTTCCTTTTAGTGTGACCTGATCTAGTTAGTGATCACGACTCTCAGTTAGAATAATGTGTGAGTGCACAAGTGTAAAAATAATGAGGCTGTAAAGACGGGCTAGTGAGTAGGTGAGCCTCTGTTTGGCGTGATGATGTGTAATATCGCAGACAGCCTCTGTGGTTTCATTTAGCCACTTGTTAACAAAACTCAAGTGGGGTATTTATTGACTTATTTTATTTCATAGAACAAAACTTGAAAATGTACTGGCCTTGTGTTAACCACAGACCTTATTTCAAGTGTCTAACCCTAAAACCCATTCCATCCCATAAACTTCAGGTTGAGGGAACTGGAAGTGCAAAAATGCTGACTCAGTTTTGGGCTCACTACTGAGGTCCTCTGTTACCAGCATTATATACTGTGATGATATGATTGTACCATTTTGTTGTTTAACACATAAAAACATTTAGGACTCATGATGCACAGCAGTGGAAAAGAGTCCATTGACTCTGACCCTTTTTCTAATCTGTTACAGAGGAAGCACAGCACACAACCACCCGGGGGTTGTGGACCGCACAAACTGAAAGGCCAGGTAGAGAAATGTGAGGAAAATGTAGCTGAATATGACAAAATGTGTAATGAATTGGAATCGATGACTGTGCCTTTAATGCTCAGTTGTGATGTTTCCATCAGATCTGATATTTTTGTGTTGATGCTTCACATTCACGGTGTGTAAGTGACTTGTATCTGGCTCCATGTAGATTTATGTGAAACTAACACGAGGTTTCATCAGTACAAGTCGGTCAGATGAAGTTAAAAATTAATTGGATGGCATTTTCTTCTGCAATGGAAGCATCATGAAGAGTGTACAAACACAATGTGTCTAAGCCAGACTTTTGAATCCTCATTTTAGTTTCAGATAAACTGCTGGCTTGGTTTAATTGTTCATTACAATGTCAGAGGATGATTAAAGTCTGTTCCATCTCTACAAATGTTTTAGTTTGGTCAGACCCAAAAGATATAAAACAGGGAAAAGCAGCAAATGATCAGTTTAGAAGCTACAGAACAAAGTGGAAATTAGTTTGTTTTTTTGTTTTTTATTTGGTGTGAAAGCTGACAATTTTCAGTGAACATACAGATTATTTTCTTTCAGCTCTATTGTGAAGAGCAAAACAAAACATTGGCTGTGACCAGGGTGATAAAGAGAAGCAGTGGGAGGGAGGGGCGAGAGAGGCTCAGCTAGAGAGCAGAGAGAGAGTGAAGTAAGTTTTCCCAGTGAAAAATGGTTTTGTCTAAATTCCACTGGACTCCAGTTGCTACTCAGCTTTCTTTTTGTTCTTTGATGCCTGGCTCTTTATTTTCCTCGGGGCCCGGTTTCCCTCTTCCTCACTGTCTCTGTCAGTATCTCTCTCTTCTTTGTTCTTTTGGTATTTGTCTCGCTCCCGCTGTTTCTTTTAGGCTGTGTTTTGCTTTCCTTTTTTGTCTCACTTTCCTTTTCATGCTCTCACATTATTGGTTTACTCAGACAGGACAGATTCCCTTTTTATTTCCCCTTGTATTCCTTTTTTTTAAAAAAGCTTTTTCCCATTTTTTCATTCTTCCACACACCCACATTCACTAAGCAGAAAACTTTCCAGACAGATTAAATGGAGTGAAGGCTGATGTGATGAGGGAAAGTCAGAGAATAAAGCTTAAAAAAGAGAGGGCAGAGGTTGTGCCACTGTCTGGGAAAGTGCGTCTCATGTTATGTCCCAGCAAACCCTCAGTATGAACTGGGATCTTACAAAAACACAACTTCTTCTAAACATTCAAGGTGGCATTTGTCCTTCTGGATGTGTTGACAAAGATAATGTGTCTGTTTTGATAACATTAGCGACCTAGCATGGCCATGATTTTACCTTTGTGTTGAACTAACTGCACAAGGGCAAAATCTTCAGTCTGACTTTGGTGGGAAGTAGGCAGGGGTGGGGCAGGTTGTGTTTGTATTGGAGCCCACCTTGTAGCGTTGAGCAGTCACATTCTCCCAGTTATTCTTTCATTCATATATCAATAATTTAAGCTTATAAATGTAATCGGCCTATTTTTGAAACAGGACCTCCAGTATTTGGTGATGATGATAATCACTTTATTTAACACATGAGGAATTTGTGCTTGGACCAAGGCCAGGACATGAAGGGCTAATGTACATGGATATATTGATACATATTACAGACTTTGACCTAATCCCTTCAGGGTAAGGCCATCCACTGTTTAAAATAAATATGTTTGGGCTGCTAATCTAAGAACTGTGTTTGAAATCTGGCTCTGCATAGTTGATCAAATTCAAAATCATCTTTGACTGTAAACAATGAATGGGTGGAGGAGTGGGGTGTTTGTTTTTTTTTTTTTTTTTTAAATGTGTGCTGAACAGGAAGTGTTTCATTTGGCTCGATGCTTCCTGGTTTAGCAGACAGAA